ACAGAGTCCCTTCTCAAGAAAGGCGGAACAGTGGCTGAGGGGTAGGAATCTAGAACCCAGAGAAGGCTCAGCCTGCCATGTTCTCCCAGCTCCTCACCTTCTTAGGAATCCGCTCCCAGGACCTGAGCAAATGCTTCAGCAGCAGGCTGTAGGGGAAGCACAACCCCTTCCAGTCAGGGGGCCCACTTGGCCCCTCCCATCCTCCATTAGGCCCCAACTCCTTCGGCTGACTCTCCAGCCCCCACCTGCAGAGAAGCAGCTTCCTAGAGGCCACCCAGCAATGTTCCCACTCAACTTGAGAGGCATGAATCCAAATAACAATGACAAATGTTCCCCTTCTGCTTCTAGGACAGAGACAGGCTGGGAAGCATAAACTAAGGCTTCTCTGTGTGGATCAGAGGCAGGTGACCCCCGCCCCCCACCTGCCTGGATTGTGACAGGTGCTTAGGGTACAGCTGCCTCCAGACGCTGGCACTGAGGGGGTCCACCATCAGGCACTCAGTCAGGCTGCTCAGGAGCTGTAGAGGAGACGGAGACACTGCTGGGGCACGGGGTTAGTGGAGCGGGAGAGCACTGGGAGGGAATCCCTTCTCCTAAGCGAGGCTACAAAGTCAACATACCCACTCTAAGGGATTGTGCCCAGACCCTGGAAATTGCTGAGAGGCTGGGGTTCCTGAGCTAGACCTTGAGCTCAAAGATCACTCATCTGCAAGGGGCAGAACATCAGAGATAGACAGACCTGAATGTACTGTCCTTTCAGCTCTGTTCTCGGGGGTAGAACATAAGGGAGTCAGGCAGGAGGCTGTCAGGAGTGTGTTAAGGGATGCACAGGAAATGGGTCCATGAAGGCAGAGCCTTTGTCAGCAGATAGGGACCTCTGCAGCTGACCTTTGGAAGGGAAAATGGAGCCTCCCACCATTTCCTCACCTCTTTCTTCATCTCAGAAGGGCAGCTGGGGGTGGCTCTGGACAGGAAGGAGGGGAAATAGGTATGCAGGGTGGATTCCGGCTTTGCACCAAATGCCAGCACCTTCAGTCGGGGGTAGAGCTGACACAGCTGCTCCTGCAGGCTGAGATCGGGGTGGGGAGGAGAGCCAGGCAGAGGCTCTGAATGGAGTTGTGCACTGTGTCCCTTCTGCCTGCCTCAGAGTCCACGCCCGAGAAGAGGAGTCACTAATGGCCTTGTAATGGCTCTGAATCTTTTTAGAGTCAGAGACTCCTTGGAAAATCTATTAAAAGTCAAGGATCCTCGCCCCAGGAAAATGCCCATCTGCCAATCACTTGAGGGTCCATATAACATCAGGGGGTTTACTGATCTCTTGAATTTACAGGTTGAGAATCTCAGATCTAGGGTGGCTGGAGGAGAAGGGACAAGAATAGATTGCCTGCTCTTAACCTTCTGCTGGGATCCTTCACAGCAGGTATGCCCCAGGGTGGCCCTACCTGGGTGTCAGAGAGTTGTTGGGCATATAAGCAAAGTCCAGAAGTGGGAAGAAGTCCTTGGGGCCAATCATGCCAAAGCCCTTCGTGAGGTTAGGGTACATTCTGTGTGGGAAGAAAGAAACAGGCTTATTGGGGACCACTACCCAAGCCACGATCCCAGCTAAGACCAACAATAAGAAAAAGGGCATAAACTCTACCCCACTCCCCATCCCTTAATGGCTTCCTTCCTCACCATCACATTCTGAGTTGGGAGGAGGTGATCCTGATTTTCCTTACATTTTTGGACACCAGGATCCCAGCATCTCATTTTGCTGAAACAGCCACTTGGAGACACCCTATGCCCTCCCCTTGGCATCCCCCCACTACTCACAGGAGCAGCCGATCCAGGTATGCAATGGCAAAGGGGGACAGGGACTTGATGCCCAGCACAGGCATCATGAACCCCAGCCACACTGTGGAGACAAAGGTCAGGGAAGAAGCCTCAGGCTCAGACCCACTGGGGGCACTGAAAAGCTTCCTAGCTCCCAGACCATCCCTCTCTCTTCCCCACTGCCTTAATACCTTTCAGTCCCTCGGTGAGGCTGGCAAAACCTGCTTGACCCAGGGCCCACATGATGGTCAGACACTTTGCTGGTCGGTTCTGGTGGGACCTCAGCAGTTCCAAGAACTGAGGAGACCAGGGGTAGGGAGGCAGGTTGGGATAGAGCAAAGCACCAGCAGCACCCCGAAAGCAAGGCAGAAAGAGAGCTGTCAACTGGGGGAAGGAAAGGCTGAGGGACAGTGGAGCACTATGGGAGTGATTCAGAGCATGGGCTCTGGCATCAGACTGTGGCCTTCATCTATACTTGCCACTTACTAAATGATTGACTCTAAGAAAGTCATTGAACCCCTAGCTCGATCTTCTCATCTATAAGTGGCAATAATGGTAGTACATGCCTTATATGTATACAAAGCAGACACACACTAAGTGCTAATACTGTCAGCTATTATGACTGGTCTTACAGGGTATTCCTCTAGCTCTTGATTGGGTCCAACAGTGTAGATTCTGCCCAGCTTCCCAAGTTCTAGACTCCTGGTTACCCCACCATCACCCTAAGCTCACCTTGCCCAGGTTGGTGGTGGCAATCTTGGGCTTGTCTTGCAGAATGGCCTGGATACAGATACGGTAACCATGTAGGGACTCCCCTGGAGAGACACATGTTCTCAGACCCACACACAGGAATAGGCATCCCAAACCTGAAATCTCTTTTGGCAGCTGTGGGCCCAGAACCCAGGCCCTGAGTCCTCACTTCATTCTTCCTTTCCAAAAGTGTCAGGATTAACGTTTCTCTGCTGGAAACAGAACCACCCAGCCACTCTAAAAGGAGAAAAAAGGGAGTAGGTGCCCAAGATCGGGCAGGGCTATCTCTCACAGGCCCTTCTCACCTGGCGTCTTATCCAGCTCTTGCAGCATGGTGAACAGACAGTGGTCAAAAAAGAGCTCCAGAGACCCTGCTGCCTTTGCCAGTAGCCCTCGGATGATCCCACGCAACTCCCGGCTCACCAGGCTGTAGGGATAATCTGGGGTGATAGGCCTCCACATGAGTGCTAGAATGAGAAGCCTCTGCCAGCTCTGAGTACTCTGGTGTGCTCCCTGAGAATGGTGAGTGGAGGCAGAGGTTCCTGCACCTTGGCTTGCATCCTCCCTATCCCACTGAGGTCCGGAAACTTTCACAGCCATGATGACCTGAGAACAGCTCAAATCACCCACAGAAATCAGGACAGTTGGGCGGGTAGACTGGGGTCTGTTACTAAGTAATGTGCTTACACACAATCCTTTCGGAATTTTCTTAAAACTTATCTGAGCTTGAGGGAGCTGGGAGAACTAACCGTGAGTATGCTGGCTTAGTGTGGGTTCACTTAGAGGTGCTTGGAGCTTGTAATTGAGATAGCTGGCCAGATCCTTCAACCACACGGATGGGTTCCCAGAGAAAACACTCTGGCTCTTGTCCAGTTCCTTCTGCAGAGCTGCCACGTCCAGCTGCCAGGGACACAGGCCCCTCATGGTCAGTTGTGGGTGAGTTGTGAGTGTAGAAAAATTGGGTAGAGGTGGGGAAATGGTTGAACTAGGTGGTGGTAGGAAGAACAAAGGGTTTCCACTTTTAAACATAAGTATACAGAACGTCACAATTTTGCTGCATCCAGATCTCTAGAAAGTATAAGACAGCTGAAATTTTGGAGCTCAAGATCCAGTACTTTTAGGCCCTTCATATGTTCAAGGAGAAAAACAAAGGACAAGATGCAAAATGAAAGATCACTGTTTCCATGGGATGAGAACCGTGGATGGTTTCTCTAACGCTTTCTGGTATCCATGAGTTTCAAGGATCTCTTCTCACTAATTTGTTTCCCTCTAAACTTATTTTCTTTTTATGTAAACATTCTATCCCTTGGGGTAGAATGTTTACAAAATCCATCCTTCCCTGAATGCCTCCTCTCAACCAATAGTGTCCCAAATTCCACAGGTCCCTCAGCTGCCCGTCCCCTCCCCCTCCTTTCAGCTTCTCTACATCGCAAGTCCTCCTCCTCTTCCCACCTAAAGTCTAGGCACACTCACAGCTTTTAATGCCTCCTCCAGGCTGCGGAAGCGGCCCTGCTTCTGGTTTTGGTTGGTGAGGGTCGCCACCTTCTTAGTCTGCTTCTTGTTACTGGGTTTCTTAGGCTCCACAGCAGGAGGTGGAACCTGCTCCTTATTCTGCTTCTTCATGATTCTCTCAAAGCCCCGTTCATAAAGGGTGGTTGTCGTCTGGATTGGAGCTGCGGTGATGACAGGTAGAGAAATGGGGGCCATCCTTGGGTCATGAGGGCCTCACAAGAACAGAGGTCCCTTCCCCCACACTGTCACCTAATTCATCTCCAAGGAGTAGCAACCTCCAAGCCCCTCCTTGCTGTCTTGACTAGGGAGCAGGCCTGGGAGCCCTCTTGGTTGCTTCTTCAGTCATCACAGCTCTTGAGTTCACGGGCTCTTTCTCAGAGATGAGGCATTTAATAATAAGCCGGAGTATGTGAGAACTAGTGAAGGGGTTGGAGACAGAGGGCTAGCTAGCTTCTTGGGTAAAGGGTTATTAGTATGGGAGGTCAGGATTTTCTCACCCTGCTTCTACCCCAGTTCCTCATGGTTCAGATGTGACAACTCTTTAATCAACAAGTGGCAAGCTTTCTCTACTCCTCTAACAGACTGAGGAAACACGCTCACTTAGAATGAGACTTGGTGGGTGTCCAGGGTGTGAGGTGGGTCATTTCTCCCACAGTTAGGCCTCGGGTCAGTCCTCCTCTCCCCACATCTGCTAGTTAATTGAGGAGGCACCTTCGATAATGAACCAGAACACCTCTTTCCAGCATTAGGTCACCTGCATGGAGGGGCAGGCTAGGGCCTGGGAACAGCTGGTAGGGTGTGTGTGCAGTGAGCTGAGCGTCCAGCACTGGAATCCTCGCCTCCTCTAACACGTGATCCTAGGAAAGGCATCTAACTTCACTGTGCCTCAGTTTACTCATCTGCGGGATGAGGACAGCCAGCCACCTCCCTTGCGCTGTCTACCTCCTGAGATGCTCGAAAGAGACAAGGTAAGGGTTGCGCTCGCTGAAGCGGGAGGAGCCGACTGGCAGTGGAGCTCTCGCTTCGAGGTACCCGGGGTGTTCTGATTCTCTGGGCTCCGGCAGCTACTCGCTACCACCCTGGTGGGGCAGGCCCGGGGCCGGGGGGCGCGGGCGGCGGGCCGGGTGGGTACTCACGCGTCAGGTCGTATTTCCATACTCCATTCGCTTCCCCGAGCGCCCGGCGGTCCCCTCCGCCGCCTCGCCCACTGCTGCCGGCTCCAGGACGCCTCCCCTTTTTCACCACCTCCCAGCGCCCCCCACCCGCCGTCCTGGACGCCATGGCTCCGACCCTCCCGCCACTGCCACCTCCCTGGGCTTTCCGGTCCCGTGCGGGTGCGCTGCGCTCTGCCACGTCTCTTCGCAGAGCCTCGCGACGCGTGACGCCACCCGCAAGGCAGCCTGGGACTCGTAGTCTTTCATTTTTTTTGCTCCGTTATTTCTAGAGAATGTTCGGGTTTGGGGGCCGGGGCTCCTTCGTAGCAAAAAGCATCCAGGCAAAGATGTTGAGGTGGAAGGCTGTACATTCAGCAGACTTTTAGCGAGCACCTACTGTGTGAAGGCCACTGCACTGGGTGACTGGGTGGAAATTTAACTGTTTCGGTTTTTCGTTCCTTTCTTGTAGTGCTAAAAGGGTGGAATGGAAACAGTTCTCACCTCTGGGAAAGAACTTGAAGATTCAGTGCTTTCCTCCTTCGAGAAGTGTTCGTTTTTCTGTTGCTAGTCATTAAACTAGAGTTTAGTGAGCTGCACAAATCTATTGTGAAGGAACGAAGAAGAGGATGGAGCTTGCGGAAAGAGGCAGTTTTTGGAGGGTGGAGAATGGAAGGTTCTGATAGGAGGCAGAGAAAAGTCTGGGAGTCTGGGACAGCCAGGGCTGTGTTTCCCCTTCTAGGCAATGGAAAAGAAATGGCTGTGGCTCCAACTGCAAGAGTCAGTCGCAAGACCCAGATGTGGCAGGGAAGTGATCAAGAGCCCCCGATCTGAGGAAGCACACAAACAGGTTTCTGCTCAGATATTCACTATCCTTGGAGGGCCTCCCACCATGCATATGGTCTCCCATCATGTGAGACCACACAGCTTCAAGCATCCCAGCAGGGAAGGATGAGGGAAGGTGAAATGAAAGTAATTGATCACAATTAAGGAAATGTGCTGTTTCATTTATACTCCTACTACACTTGAGGATGAGATTCATACCTGCCATACTGAGGTACGAGGCAGTCCAATCTTTGTAGTAAGAACTAATAAGAGTCCAAATTTCTACAGGAGGGACAGCTTAGGAAGGAAATTAGAGAAGGCTTCCTGAAGGAGATGGTATTTGAGGTAGGTCCTGAGGAATGAGAGGAATTTTAAAGGTCGGGGATTGGGACAGATGGAGAGAACAGGCCAGTTGTATGAACTTATTGATTTAAGCAAAGGTCTAGATGTGGAACACATCAGGGCAAGGCTGGGGAACTGAAATGGTTTAGTGTGACAGTGCTTAATGGAGTTTTGGAGGTGATGAGGTTGGAAAGGGGTCTGAGCCCATTTGCCATGGCCCTTGCCTGCCAAATTTGGGGTTTATCCTCCAGACCCTGGGAAGCCAGTGGAAAAGTGGCGTGATCCACTTTTTTGGAAAGATAAATGAGGATGTGTGAGGGATGTGTTGGGGTCGGAGAAAGGTAAGACGTGGGAGATGACTTGCTGTCTCCTGCCTGTCCTCCAGCCTCTTCAGGCCTGATCATGGCTGGCCTCGCCTCGGGTAGCTCTGAGATGGCACTCCATTAATCAATTCATTTTTCAGATCCTTGGTTTAGCTCTACTCAGAGTCCAACAACAATATCCCCTCTTTGCTCAACCCCTTCTGTGTCACATGTATGGTCACAGAAGAGACACTGTTTTGGGAAGAGAAACAGAATAGGCCTTCCACAGAGGCAAAGGAGGGGGATGCTCCAGGAAGGAGAAATATAGAAGAGTGGGAGGCTTTCTCTCCTGTCTTTCCTTAGAATAGTCTGGCAGGTCATCTGCAGTAACTTGGCATATAGGGGACAGAAGTCATTTACTTACTTATCCAGCAGCATTTCCAAAGCACCTTCTCTACCTAAGCAGCTAGCGCTGTGCTAGGTGGAGCTGGAGGATATACCTCACTTGCTTGTGAGGAGCTCCAAGAGACAAATGTGTAATCAGAAAGTGACAGTTCGCCATGTTAAATGTTCCACGGAGAAGTACACTTAATGTGAGTGAGAAGAGGTGGGGCAAGAGGCAGTGGCTTTAAATCACTGAGCTCTGGATGTTTGAAGAGCAACCTTAGACACTAGCCATGGAGGTGGGCTTGGGCAGGTACTCACACCGGGTTTGAGGGAAGAATCAAAAGATGTTGGGTCAAGGGGGACAGGTGGGTGTCTCGTGTGGGGGCAAGAAGAGAGGCGAGTTCATCGAAGCACAGTTTGACCCACTGTATTAGCTTTCTATTATTGCCATAACAAATTACCACAAACTTAGTGGCTTAAAACAACACAAATCATCTTACAGTTCTGGAAGGTGGAAGTCTGACAAGAGTCTTGCTGGGCTAACATAGATGTCTGTAGGTTGTGTTCCTTTCTGGAAGCTCTAGGGGCGGAGCTATTTCCTTGCCTCTCCCATCATCGAGGCTACCCACATTTCTTGGCTCATGATCCCATTCTGTCTTCAAAGCCAGCAACAGTGAGTTGAGTCCTTCTCACATTGCATCACTCTGACCTTCTCTTCTGCACCCCCTTCCACTTTTATGGGCCCTTGTGATTTCCCTGGGCCTACCCAGGATACTCTCCTTATTTTAAGGTCAGCTGATTAGCAACTTAATTCCAACTGCAACCCTAATTCCCCTTTACTATGTAACCTAACATATTTGCTGCTTTCAGGAATTATGACATGGACATCTCTGGGGGGTGGCGTTCTGCCTACCACACCTGCTTTACTAGTAGGGTGAGGTCTTGGCTGAAGATGAACATTGGGCAATGTAGAACAACTACCTTATCATTTTATAGTATCTACCTGGAATAATGGAGGGAGAGCCTTTTAGAATTAATTAGGCAAGGGGATTAAAAAAAATTATGATCCATAAAATTAGGCAAGGGACTTGTTGGAGAAAAACAGAGATAGAATAAGGCCAGAAGTATCTGTAAGTGGGGGTGGGAGTCAAATGGAGTAGGTGAAGAGAATGAGGGATTGATAGGGATTGCGTTTTTAAGGCTTTATCTGGAGTTATTAAAGAAATTGTCATGGTCTGGAAGGAGAGTCATGGAGCAGGGCCACAAAAGCAGCAGACCTTGGTTGTATTCAGGATGAGGAGGAAATATCTACCAGGACTCGACTGAAGCTAGAGGAACATTCTGGAGGTGACACCTCTATGGTCTTTGGGGATGAGCACTCAACCGTAAGTCAGTGGCCTGAATTCTAGTCGAGGTTTTACCACCTTGAGCAACACATGTCACATATGGGCCTCGGGCCTTTCATCGGTAAATGAGGGTGCTGATCTACGTGACTGCTGAGGCTCTGTTTGAATGGGCCTGGTAGCTGCTTTCATTTCAGTGCCTTCAGCTCCCATTGGGCTTCTAAACATTGGTTATTATGGCCCTTTGCTGGGCCACGCATCAAGAATGTAGGGCTGTGTGGATGATGGGGAAGTTTTTCTCATTAGAGCTTGTTCTACAGAAGGAACCACACAGGCATTGCTGTCCTGGGCTTCAGTGCTCAGAGCTGCTTGCTCTTTGTAAGCCACTTGGCTCTGTCACATGACCCCTTGTCCCAGCTGGATCACTGTTGTGAGGTGAGTTAACTTTGACAAGGAATAGGAGACAACATGCAGTCTAACTGGCCCAAAGGAGACTGAAACAAAGCATCTCTTGACCAGGCCATGCTGTTACCCACCAGCCACTTTCCTAGGTTGCCCATTGTCACAGCCATGGCCCCGAACTTTGTTCCTTCATGCCTTCCTTTAGGACCTTGGCACCAGTATTGGGAGATGGAGTCTAGGTCAGCGCTGATTTCTGAGGCCAAATACCAATGGCGGTTTCCAGGCGTGAGAGAAGGTGGCAGTGGTGCTGTGCTCCATGGCCATCACCTCTGGAGAGGGGAGCACTTGGGACGAGAAAAGCATTGAGATCCAGGCTGTGGGTCAGCTGAGAAAGACATGGCATGGACTTTTACCACACAAGTTTATTTAAATAAAAGTGAACACATACTCAGGCTGGGTGGCCTGAGGGGGCAAGGGCTGGGGAGGTGGATGGTTGGGAGGCAGACGTACAGGGGGTTCTGGGCAGAGTCTGTGTGGTATGAATTGAGCTGCAGAGGGAGTGGCTGGGGACCTCGGGGCAGTGCTGGGCTACAGGGCTGGGGCTGGGGGCTGAGGTTGGGTGAGCCTGGTGCCAGGAGGGCATTTTTATCCCTCGCATGCTCCCCTGGGGTCTAAGGCACCCCTTCCTCAGTCCCCCTATCCCTCTCCTGACACCAGCCTTCCTCTCAACTACTGGGAAGTCAAAGGACAAAATAAATAAGAATCGGTGAGTCCTGCCATGGCTGGCAGCGGGGAGGGAAGCCAAGCCCGGCACACTGCCCTGGAGCCCGTGCTGTCACCCTGGGAAAAGAACAGGTAAAGTGCAAGGAAAATCCAGTAAGTAAAAATATACAAATGACTTTGTCAAATATACAGCTGCTGGCTGTCAGGGGAGCAGGCGGCTGGCTAGGGAGGGTAGCAGCAGCACCCTGGGAAGTGTTGGCCAACACAGCATAGAGACAAGGGTCCCACCCACTAGGCCAGTGCCACAGGAGGACGGGGCCTCTGCCTACCCACTTGCCCCATCCCCTCAAGCCCCCCTTGCCTGACTCCCCAATGCTGCCGCACTGACACAAAGCACCCGGCCGACCAGCTGTAGGGACAGGATTATAATGTGGGGGTGGGAGTGGGGTGGGGAGGCGTGCAGTCAGCCAGGGCTGGAGCCGCTCTCAGTACTCGTCCTGGTCTTCTTGTTGGTGTTCTTCAATCTCGTCGTCCTCAGGAGGTGCAAATCCTTCCTGGAGGGTGGGAAGGGAGAGGGAAGTGGTGAGACAGGCAGGCCAGGCTGAGGGTGTGGACTGGGGTAGGCAACTTGGGAGCAAGGGCCCAAGTTCTAGTCTTCCTTTCCCTGCTTTCTGTGACTTCAGCTGGTTCTCCCCATCGGTCCATGTCCCCAAGGCCCCTTCTGATCCTACCCCTTCAGGTCTTATGGCCAGGCGGAATGGGGAAGGGCCCAGTGGGTAAAGGCAGAGCTCACCTCAGTGGCATAGAGAATGCCAATGATGCCCGAGAT